GAGGTAAGAGGGAGATTTTGTTTGTGAACTTTGGAGCCGTGGACAGCTTTATTAGTACCCACAGTGTGAACTGGCTGAAAGGGGAGCCGGGCTTGGGAAAGCAGAGCCTAAGTACCAGCCAAGAGTGGTACCCGGAGGCAGAGTTTAAGACGCCGCCTAGGAGGAGGCTGGGAAGGCCCTGAGACGCTGGTTCTGCACAGATTCATGTGCCAGAGGCAGCCGGAGCTGGGCTGAAGCTGCCACTGATCACCATGACTTCACATCCAGAAAGGGGATGAAAAGACAAATTCACTTTCCCAAGGTCAATAGCTAGGCCCGTACTAGGACCAAGATGAAAATGGTTTTTTTTTTTGGCCCATAGTCATCTTTGTAGCAAATCTGTCTTTCAAAATGCCCCTTTCCCTCTAGCTTCCATATCAGGACTTTTGCTACTAAGCATGAGTTAACTGTTACGTTTTGAATCTGGTTATTTACATTCAACAGTAGTTGTGGCTTAGAAACACACACACACACAATATATCTTTTCGTAAAAATTCTTCGTGGAGTGGCTGGGCTCTTCCCTCACATTGCCTTCCATCTTCACTGACCTTAGTGTACGTCTTGCAGTTTAAAATAAGTTTAAGGGGGCTGGGGATTTAGCTCAGCGGTTCGGTGACCTGCCTCGCAAGTGCAAGGACCCGAGTTCAATCCCCGGTACAAAAAAAAAAAAAAGAGTGCTTTGTTCTGCTCATTGAGTTTTGGCGCGCACTCCTGTAATCCCAGCACTTGGGAGGCTGAGGCAGGAGGATCGCTGTGAGTTCAAGACCAGGCTGGGCTACACAGTGAGCTCTAGGTCAGTCTCAACTACAGAGTGAGACCCTGTCTCAAATAACAACAAAAAAAAATAAAATAAGTTTAGGAAGATCACTACTTTAAATGTTTTACTTCAAATATGCTACATTTCTAAATCTACGACATCCCAGCACTTGGGAGGCTGAGGCAGGAGGATCGCTGTGAGTTCAAGACCAGGCTGGGCTACACAGTGAGCTCTAGGTCAGTCTCAACTACAGAGTGAGACCCTGTCTCAAATAACAACAAAAAAAAATAAAATAAGTTTAGGAAGATCACTACTTTAAATGTTTTACTTCAAATATGCTACATTTCTAAATCTACGACATTTTAAGTTGAGAAGTGACCTGTTGTGTCACTGCTCAGCTAACTGCTATTGAGTTAAAGAAAAAAAAAGCAAAATGTAGGTTTATGGTTAAGAAAATTTAAATACTGCAGAGAAGTGAACTGTGAATAGCTGGTCAGAAACTCTCCCTGTCTGCTGCCTGATCATTCCCCAAATGCACACATAACCAACACATCGCTGTCTGGCTTTTCAGGAAACAAAATGTATAATGTAGATGTTTTTCCTAATGGAAAAATTCGTGCCATGTCTTCACCTTGCTTTATAAATTATCTTTAAACATATCTGGAAACTCTTGATACTGCAACCTGCAGAACCATTTAAAAGATGAATTAGTATTTCATTATCAAGGTCTGCTCTTATTTCAGTGTTTTGTTACTACAGACAGGACTGAGTGTGTTCCACGTGCATTGTATCCAGAATGTTTTTGTGAGAACAGAGTAAATTCCCAGCAGGGAATGTTTTCCCAGGTCTTTATCATAACCCCTCGAGCCTCACATTCTCTCATTGCAATTAGCGCAAAATCCAAAGACCTTCTCTTCGCTTACCTGGGATTAAGGTGATCCCACCTCCTTCTCTTCAGCATAATTTTCTACTGGTTACTCCTTGTTCATGACTGGGACTGTCAGTTTTTTGTCCCCGCAAACCTTTACCTCAGGGCCTTTGCACTTGCTTTCTTCTCTGTAGCAATCTGCAGAAGTGCTTGGCTTGTCACTGAGCCGCCCACTCCAAGTCATTTTCTCAGCCTGCCAAGGCTGCTGAGAACACTCCTAGGTTTCAAGGCTTAATGTAATTTTAATGATTTCTCTTCCCTCTGCAAAGTGGGCTTCCTGTCCCAGCTGAGACCCCGTCAGTGCTCTCGAAACGGCTGATGCCGTCCACTTAAATGAGCACTCCCTGGCACCATGCCTTCCTGCACTCCTGCGCAGATACTGCTCCGCTGTCACGTAGAGCAGCGGCTGACACACTGAGTGTGAGTCTGCCCCCGGCCTCTCAACTCTGCATTTGTAGGCAGAATTGAACGTAGATGCCTTAGACTCGTGCTCCTAACCACCGCACCTGACTCCCTTCCTCCCAGCTTCAGCCTAAAGAGTGCCCGGTGTCCAGGGACGGTTCCTTAGCTTTAGACCATAGAATAGAGTGGATCCAACGAACAGTGTACACCGACCGTTTTTCCTCTCCATCCCCTCCTCTCGGCCTCAGCGGGTGACTAGGCTGAGCATTTTCTTGCTTAATTTACATGAGCCTAGAAAATAGTTCTCTTTCCCCTAGACCAGTTGCTGTTCCTGATTCTAACTGTAAAATAGGCTTGTCAGACGCTACCAAGCTCTTGCTAGAAAAGTTTACAGTGCACAAAACAATTTGTCGCAAATAAGTGTATATAAGCAAGAAATGTGTATTTTCCCCCACAGATGAAAGAAGATCTAGGTAGACTCCTTTATTGGACTATCCGCGGATAAAGAAAGTATATGTTGGCAGAAGTAACCACTGGTATCATTTGCTGAATGTCTGCTGTAGACCAAGCATTATGTTAAGACTTTTATCTCATTTCATCTTTATGAATACTTCATGAAATAAGCCTTGATATTTCTACTTATAGGGAATGAAAGGAGCTTGCAAATTTTAAGGATCCTGTTCAGTTTACCAACAGTTTAAATTTCTAATCCGGGTCTGTTTGACTCCAAAGGTTGAACTTTGTGTTCTAGCAGCCCTGCACAGCCGAGTGGCCAGTGTGAACTCAGGAGCAGGTGAGTTTTTTGTAGTTTCGTAATTACAACAGCACCTTCTTACGTACAGAAGATATTACGGAACATATTGCTCTTTCAGTCTGAGAAGCAGAGAGATAGCAGTTCCCTTGTGACAAGCTCAGAATTCCTAAGGCCATGAGCCAGTTTGGAAAGTCTTGATTTAAATGTGGCAATCTCTGGCCAACACAACTGGTACAAAGCCAGCCTGTGATATGTGCAGTATGTGGGGTGTCTTAGTTACTTTTCTCGTTGTTGAGATAAAATACCCAACATCCAAAAGTTAAAGGTGGAAAGGCCTATTTCAGCTCACAGATTGCGAGGTTTCACTCCATACTCGGCTGGCTCCAAGGCAGGGGGGCACGGCAGAGGGGCGTCACAGAGGAGAAACAGTCCATGGCAGGCAGAAGGCAGCAGAGCAACAAGGGAGAAGACAAGCTTCTTTGTGTCTCTTACATTGTATCCAGGCTACTGCGATTAGGGTGGTGCCAACCCCATCCATGGACTGGTTTAGTCCTTAATTCCAGCATCACACATTGTAGATCCTGCCACCTCTGAAAAATCTCACCTCAAACTCTGTGAGGCTTAGGGGTACATCTAGACCCAACTATAACATGGGACATTACTGGCCCAGGTACATAAAGCACACTTGGTCCCTTTCCTTAAAAGACTGGGATTCAGACTCCTACTTACTTTGCACCGGGAGCTCTAACCCAAGCCGCCACAACCTCCCCCCATGGTTGCATAGCTCTTTGTGCAGCTGTAGAGATTTTTAAACTGAACACCCAAACCAAAGACCCCTCCTTGCTCCCTTCCCGTCTTTGTGAGTTGATGCACAGGTTTTGATCACAGCTCCAAAGCAAGGGGGCAGCAGATCATCAGCTCCAAAACCGTAAGCCAAAGTACATCTTCTGTTTTTATAAGTCGATCACCTGAGGTATTTGTTGTCACGGCCAAAAGCTACTGATGTGAGCTCCACTGTAACCTTAGAGACGATCGGTCCCACACAGGCAGTTACCCATGGTGACGTCACTTCGCGCACCTGACCAGATGTAAAGCACCTGGTACCACCCTCGTAGGACATCCATGGTCGCTCCTGACACTTTCACTTCCGTGTCTTTGCCATGCTATTGTTTCCAATTAGAAATCAGTCTCTCACATTTACCCTCCATCCAAATGCCTTCAAAGCTCAGCTCGATGTCCATCGATGTCCATCTATCTACAGCAGCAGGCTTACATTTTTCCCTTACTTAGCAAACACATCTGTGGTGCTTCCTGTATTCCTGTGCCTGCCTAAGCACTCTCACGATGCCTTAGTTCGTCCTGTGTGGCAGGTGTGGAGAACACAGACCTGTGGGCACACATTTCACCCCATTACCCAGCCAGGAGGCACAGATGCAGGCTCTCTGTTGGGAGGAGGGCTTCTGAGAGGAATCGTCTCTCCTCTGCTTTTGGAAAACAAACAGATTTCGTTAATCACGTTCATTGTTTTAAGTAAGACTGGGGATTCGTGCTTGTGGACTTGGAAATGTGTATGTGACGCACACGTCCTGGCGGTGGGCAGGGGTGGACAGGTGCCGACTGCCCTCAGGGGGCAGCGCGGTTCCCCCAGTGACGCTGTGGGTGGCAGCTTCTCCAAGTCACCAGTGTCCCTGATGTCTGGGACGAGACTGCAAGCTTCTGAATGAGCAACCCGGGAGAAAACCCTCTCCCAGAAGCTGCTTTCCCAAGCTCCGGCACAGGCCCCGCACATCCTGGCTCCCTGAATGGACCCTTCCCCTGAGCGGGCATGAGCCCAGGCTCCCACTGTCCCTGGTGTGCGCAGTCCCTTATGTAATTATCCAGTTCGGCCTTGGGGAGAGAGGGAGGAGAGAGAGAAGGAAGCCTCATCTTGCTAACGTTGTAAGCATGCTTTCCTGGGAATATTTAAGGGAACCTGAGCACAGGAGTGTGGCGAAAATTAAACATCACAGAGCATGTAAAGCAGAGAGGAGAAGTCTGGCTGTCTGCAGAAATCCTGTCAAAAAGCACCCCAAGATCACGCTGCTCCGCAGCCCCCTGGCGAGGACGCCTACCTAGTGGCCCTGCTCGTGCTCCGCACCTCAGGGCCTGGCGCCTTCCTCGCGGAAACCCCGCCACCCAGCCCTTCCCTCCGTTCCCTTGTGTCCACTCCCCTGGCTCCAGCGTCTCCTAACTGGATTAACTGCTGTGGCTTCAGTGTGTCCCTCACGAATATGTGCGGAAAACTTTATTCCTCCGAGCAACAGGGTTGACAACGGGGACTTCACGAGAGCAGGGCGTCTTCCCTGGTGAAAGCAGTTCTCGATAGGAGAACCGGTCCCCTCCCATCCTCTGCTCCCCACCACACGAATTACCCGTGGAGAAATGCCTTGCCAGGTGTAGCTCCGTGACCTTGAACTTCCCGGTCTCCTGAAATGAAAGAAATAAATGTATAAATGTATAAACTGCCCGGTCAGTGATACTCTATTGCAGCAGGATTGGGATAAGGTTTCTAAGAGTGTCTTCAGGGCTTTACCTAGTGCCTGACATAAATGTACCAAAGAATAGATATAGGAAAGGAGCAGTTTAACAGCAGTTCTGTGGCACAGAAGGCCTGCTGATCTTCATGCTTTCTGTATCCCAACCCTCATGGTGAGTACAAAGGTGAGTCCAAAGGAGATTACGGAGTTCCTAACCCTAGGAGCTATGACAGCTATGAGTACAAGTGGGGAAGCTTTATTTAAGAAATGACATCATCTGGAGGATCTCTGAGGGCAAGATGTGGGAAACGGTTGTATTAAACCACAGGGAGGGGGAGCGAGAGAGAGAGAGAGGCCGTCCTGTGCCACAGGGTTAGCCTGCAATGAGAGATTCCCCCAAAGGGTGCGGGAAGTAGGCTCGGGAAGAGGAGGTGCAGAGACAGGAAAGCTCTTCCCCATAACCAGAAGTAGTCTTTTCCCAGGTTTTTCCTGGTTGTTACAAGTGTTACAAACTAAAGCCTTTACATACTCAAATGTCTTCCTGCACTTTTGAAACTTGTTCTCTTGGTTTCACTTCCAGTATTTTCAAGCCGCATGGCAACATTTGCTTACCATTAATTTCCTGCTTGCTAATATCTCCGGTAGTCTGTTGTTTTCTGTCCCCCATGTGCTGGCAGAATCTGAGGTCTGTGGTGAACGATTAGTGCCCTAAAGTACCTGACAACCATGAACCATGAAACTATCTCTTCCAGTCTATTTCTTGAGAGAAGTACACAGTATGTTTGAGAGATACGGCATATCTTTACCTTAAAAAACTTACTACAGTTAAAGAGAAATTGCCATTAATTACCCTCTGATCCTCTCTTCACTTTGAACACACCCATCCCACTCCTTTCTGAAGCAGCTCTGGAGTCCTCTTTCTTGAGTGTCTTTAGCTGCACTGTCCTGGCTGCCTCTGTGTCCTGGATTGATTCAAAATGTTCCCCCTTTCATGGTTGTCTTGACTTTGGAGAAGAGACAGAAGGGAAGCAGACCAGATCCGGTGAATGAGGGTGAGGGAGGACAGCGTCGTGTTTTACAAGTTGCCTTTCTGCTGGACGGCGCTTAGCAGCAGCAGTCACCGTATTTATCACACCTCATAAAGACCCTCAGGAAAGCAGTCTTGTAGGCCCACTTCAAAAAGCGACAAGAACCAGGTGTGGTGGTGCACACCTGGAGTCCTAGCACTCAGGAGACTGAGCAGGGGGATCACCATGAGTTCGAGGCCGGCCTGAACTGCAGAACAGATCCTGTCTCAAAAAACAAAAAACAACAACAAAAAAAACAAATTGAAAGAATGGTGAGATGAATGTATTTGAAAAAGGGGGAATGTTTTAAATAACAATGAAAATTTAAGGACTGAAAACAAAATAAAAAAGCAGTACAGCTCTTTTTATTTAAAAATAAAATGTCTGGGTATGGCGGTACACACCTGCAATGCTAGCTCTCTGGAAGCCTACGGCTGGAGGGACTCAAATCCAAGACCTGCATGGGCAACTTCAGGACTTAGGAGAGGACATCAAAATAAGAAATAAGAAGGGCTGGGATGCAGCTCCATGCAAAAGCCCTGGATTTAGTCCTTAGTAGTACAAGCGGGGAGGAGGAAGTTGCATTCTTTTCTTATAATGCAGTGGGAAAGGCAGGGGATATGCATTCCCATTCCCAAAGGAGGAATAGGAGAATCCGAGGAAGGCTTCTCTTCACGTGCAGGTTGCCCCTTCTCCTCCAGCTGTGCCAAGATCTGAACAGCAGCGAGAGACGTCTGGTCTTCAGGAAGAAGGTCACCTCATCACAGAGAGCACTGCCACGGTGCTGTGAAAACCCGAGTCCGGCGGGCTTTTGTGCCTCTACACGTTTCCCAGTTACACTCCCTAACGTAATTTTCTTTGTAGTCCTGGCGCTTGAACCCAGGACCCTCATGCTGCACTCCATCCCCAGCCTATTTCATTTTTTATTTTGAGACTGGGTCTCACTAAGTTGCTAAGTTGCCCAGGCTGGGCTCAAAGTTACCATCCTCCTGCCTCAGTCCCCCAAAGAAATTTTATTGCTTATATTTGAGGGTTAAAACATGCTGTTATGAAACATGTAGGTAGTAAAGTGAACAAAGAAACAGAGTATTATATCTATAGTCAGAACAGTGTCTGTTTTTGTAACGAGGGCAGATAAAATCTGCTTGTCCAAATTCTCCAATACAATTCAGGTTCATGAATTGCAGTGCTCACACATACATTACTGCTACTTTGTAACCCTTGGCCAACATCTCCTCTCCTCCTACCCACAGCTCCCTTCTCCTGGGCATCAGGACTCTTTATTCTTCATTCTACAGATGAGTGAGATTAGGCACTATTTTTTTTTCCTGTGTTTGGTTTACTTACATGGCATAATGACATCCAGCTCCATCCTGTTTTGGCAAAAGGCAGGATGATGTCCTTCTGAAGGCAGGAAAACGCCTCTGTATCTCGGTGTATCCTCGGCCACCTAGGGGTCCGCATCCAGGACGCCTCCTAGGGACCAGACTGTCTGTGCCGAGTCCTCATGGTCCTGCCGCTCTCCAGGCTCTCTCAGGCTCTCCGATAGTGTGGTGGTCCTTTGGGGCTGCTGCTTCTCTCACAGGTCACAGAAGATCACGATCCACAGCTCATGGAGGCTTCCCTACCCCGATGGCTGGACGAGGAGGCCCGCCCTGACCTCCACCTGGCACCAGGGCAGCAGAGGATCTAAACCTAAATGAAGGTGACTTCATTTTGTTTCTATCCTGAGGTATTCTGAGATGCCAGTCACTAGGAGTATCTTTTCTCAAGGCAACAGAATGAGGACTCTCTTGAAGACTGGCCTTCTACGTTCTCTGGCTTTAAAGTCATCTATACTTTACCCATGTTATTCATCTATGCCTGTTATGGCTAGTATCTATATGTCCCCTCAGAGCCTCATGCGGTCATGGGTGGGCCTTTTTGGAAGTGCCTGGATGTGTGATGCTGGGATTCAGGGTGTCCCACCCCAGGTGTGGGTGGCCCCAGGCACCAGGTCATAGCCTGGATAGAATATAAAGGCCGCTTCTCCTGTTTCATTGCTGCTGCTGCTGTTTTGCTGCCTCCTGCCTTCCTGCCATGGGCTGTTTCTCCTCTGCAGTGCCCCTGCCATGCCACCCTGCCTTGGAGCCAGCCGATTGTGGACTGTATCCTCCACAAACTGAGCTGAAATAGACCTTTCCTCCTTTAACTTATGGATTAGTGCTGGGTATTTTCTCTCAGCAAAGAGAAAAGTGACCAAGACAATGCTTAAGGGCATAGGCCCTTTCTTTGGGTGACTGTAATGTGAAGTAATTTTGGCAGAAGTGAGGTTTACTTGTCAAGTGGGAGGGCCTTCTCGTTTAGGCCAGCTGACACAAAGAACAGCAAACCCAGCTTCCCTCTGCTGAGTGCTTACTGCTTGGGGCGTTCGAAACAGCTCATATCAGGTGTTGTCCCTTCTTAATTCTCAGACCATTTTGTTGCATTATCTTCATTGTGGTGATGACAAGAGTGATATTTGAAGAAGTTATTGGTTTATCCAAAGATACAACCCAGCGAAACATAAAATTCAGGATTCTGACTCAAGCCTATCACAATCAAAAGCCTGTGTTTTGTTCCTTCCACGCAATGTGCACACCAAATCTGTCTTCTCAGTTATTTGTTCTCCCTCTCACAACTCACTGGAAAGCTCCAAATGGAAAAGCTGTTTGAGTTGCTGGTTATTCATCTATAATCCACTTCATTTGCTTTGGCTGGATAATTTGTTATTAAATAATGTGGTTGTCAAACATTTTATCATGCATTCCTAGCAGTAAACAAAGTTGTGAGCACCCCTCGGATGTCTCTTTTTTCAAAATTATATACACGTACTACTGTATATGTTTATTTTAGAAATATTTTAAAAATTAGAAACAAGGAAAAAATATAAATGATAATTTATAATTTTTAAATATTTTCTTCGTGCATACCAATGGTATTGTGTATTCAACTTTGGAAATCATTGAGCCAGAGTATGAAGCTCCTACTATTTGTACACTGTTCTTGCAGAATTCACGCTCCAGTTGGTAAATCCTCTGTGGTTGACGCCTAATATTGGAGGGAAGATCTAGGGCTGTGTGAGGAATCAGGAAAGATTTTACGACACAGGTGACATTTGTACTGATCTTGAAGGGTGAGCAAGAGTGGTGTCAACTGGAAATGAGTAGGTTTATTTCATGCAGAAGAATAACACGCAGAAATCATGGAATTGTTAAAGCCTTTCGTGTGTGAGAGAACAATAGCAATATTAGCAGCTGACCAGGACACTGGGCTTTTAGGGAAATGCAGATGGTAAGGCTATTTGGGGCAAGATGATGCCATACCAGGGTCTTGAACTTCATGCTTTAGATAACAGGGAACCATTAAGATCGAGTGGAGAGAGTTGGAAAGCTACTGCCACATCTGAGGACAGATAGTAGAGGGATGAACTGAGGGAGTGGCAAGAGGGTGGGAGAAGAATTGTAGCTCATACTTTGGGCAGCATTGGGCATGACAAGAGGGAGAAACTGAGGGAAACCCAGGTGTATCGGTCAGCTCTCCTGACAGAAACCAGGACAAAATACCCGACACCCACAACTTAAAGGATGAGAGATTTGTTAGGCTCACGACTTCCAGTGGGTTTGGTCCGCGGTCAGCTGCTCTGAACCAGAAACAGCATGGTGGAAAGGGCAGGCAGAAGGAAGCAGCTCACGTGAGGGCGTCTAGGAAGCGGAGAGAGAAGGGAGCAGCGGGGACAAGAATGCCCTCTTCTGGGGCAGGAACGCACACTTCAGTCGTGTCCCCGGTGACCACCTCCACCCAGGCTTAGCTCTGAACGCACCGATGGGAGAGTCCACTAGTGAGAATCGTGTCCCGAGACCTTCCACGTACGAGACTTAGGAGGCGCCTCGAGGTCAAAACCACAGCACCAGAGCTTCTGCCTTGGGCAGCGGAGAGCTGGGCTTTGGGGTGCACATGATAAAGAGACAGCCGAGGAGCCTCAGCAGCCTGGGCTTGGAACCTTGCTGAAACCTCCTCTGCTGCAGGAGGTTTTAAACCATGTGCTCCCACTCTGAACTGTGCTTCTCTCAACCCAATGGGGTGAACATACTGGTTTTGTAGGGTTGACAAGATCAAATAAGATTTTTATGGTCTCATCGTCTGCCCACCTCCACCTTGCATCAGAAGACTCCCTGGGGCCCTGGAGGGACAGCAGAGGGCCCATGATGGTTTAGAAGGAATCATCCTGGAATTAGCACATCACACCTGCCTGTGCTGCCATGTTTTCAACAAAAAGCAATCGCTGCAACAAAGCTTCAGCCTGGTGAAAGCCACAGGTGGGTTAAAACCTCAGGGGAGGGGAAAATACGAGCCTGAAGACCTCTAGTGATTTCTTGCTCCTGTCTCCCATCCTGCTGGGTGAGACAATTCCAGTGATGGTAGATCACCATCAAAGGAACAGAGCCTGGGAGAGAACACAACTTTAGAGCCCTGCTGGGAGACCAGAGGACTGCATTTGTGGGTCGGTAGAGACCTCAGTATAGAATCGCGAGCTCTCTTCCTTCCTATCACCTCCCCGTGGACACTACAGGCTGATGCAGGTATGTGGGGAGCTGCAAGGCAATAGAAAGAGAACGAGAGTTTTAGGGCATTCAGGCAGGGGCAGAGGAAGAGAGGGAGAACAAACTGAACAATTTATGTATAGAGAACAGAATTAATTTGCCCCCTAGAACAAGAAATTAAAGTGAACATCAGAATATCAAATATAAAAGTGGACATTAGAAACACGAAGCCACACGTAGCCATTACAAAAGAAGACAGGAAATAAATGTGTACAGAAAATACAAAGGGTGAAACAAAAACAATGCATAGGTTGAACAGTGTAACGGACACAGTGGAGACGAAGGAGTGACGTGGTTTTCAGGGAGGAACTCTTGGTTTTGTGTCAACGGGAGGGCTGATTGCCTGGTTTCAACAGGAAAACGTAGGTGTTGCAGGAGCCCCCACGCGCTGTTCAGAGGGACCTTCGGGATCTTCTTCACCTTGCCTTCACCTTGCCTCCTCCTCTGATACCTACTGGGGGAGCTCTCCGAGATTCCTAGTGTTGCTCTTGGTGACTTTGCTCCCTTCCCTCCCCCAGGGCGGCTGGGCAATCACCCGGTGATCTGTAGGACCTCCTACCCTTCTCTGACCTTGAATTCACACTTTGTAGTTTATGTTCAGATCTGGCTATTGATCACACGGACCGGGGTTACCAAATCCTCACATTGGTCATCGTCATGACGAGGTTCTGCTCAGACTTTTAAAACCTGCTCGATACCAGCTGACTTGTAAAAGTGCAGGGCCGACTCTGGGTGTGTAGTCTGTAACGCCCGCAGCAGGCGTCGATGGAGGAAAACTGCCTTAAGCCGCTGAGAGGTAGGCTCTGACATTTCAGCACTTGTGTTGATTTTCCGTGGCTGCTCTGCCACATTGCCGTGAGGCCTGGTCTGAAATAAAGACACTGTGTTCGCGTAGGCAAGGAGACCGAAGTTCAGACTTGGTACTGGGGGACAAAGTCGAGGGGTGACAGGGCCACACTGCCTCCTTCCACATGGCAGGGAAGACGCTGCTCCTGGTTATTGCTCTGCTGCTGGTGGCCACGTCTGCCACCCCATGTCCCCGTCTCCAGCACCCTCTGCTCTGTGTCCACATCACTTTTCTCTGGTGTTTCTAAGTTAGATCTGCCCATGCCTCCGGCTGTAAGGACGCGCGTGGAGGTGTCGGGCTCCACCCAGACGGCCAGGACACCCTGTCCTGCTCACGATCCCTAATTTAATCTCCTCTGTGAGTTCTGTTTTGCCACATAAAATAATACTGCTCAGTTCCAGGGATTTGGACCCGGTAACTTTGGGTGGGCACATGTGAGAATGAATAAACTCAGAGGACATGCAGGTACTGACATCACTTCCTTCAAGCTCCCTCGAGCCTTACACACACAGATGCCTCTGCTTCCACTTGTTATATCGAATGGTTGGAAAGTTGGCACCGCATTTTCATAGTTATGAAAAAGTGGACACTGTGTGCTTAATCATTTTCATTGATATTCAGAGTTGCCAGGTAACAAACACTACTTGGATTTCTTCTGCTTTCAATAGATGAGAATGCTTCCTGGCATTGTGTGCTCTCGGAATGTACAGAGGCGAGGGACCTGGGGAACGACTCGCTCAGTGCATCCCAGTCTCCTCCTAGGATGCCTTTGTGTAACCTGCTGGAAGGCTGGGAAGCTTGCTGACAACCTCCCAGTCCTCTCCGGTCTGGATGCACAATAGTTGCTCTTTGCTACATGCATCCTTGATACCCCGGTAGCAGGAGGTATCCTCCTGCTCTTTGGCTCTGTTCTTGCAGTGAGCAAGCAGCTCTGCATTTTGGGCTCTCTCTCTCCCTCTGCTTTCTGGATGGTGCAATACCGTCACAGCAGGGGCAGGGCACTGGTAGCTGTGGTTTGAGGCCCCGGCCCTCCTTGCATCAGAGCTGCAGTAACGCATTTGCTGCAGTCCTCAGCCTTGAGCTCAGGGATGGCTCTGGCAGCAGAGTGGTTCTGTGCTGCCCAGAAGTCAGAAGTCATTTTCAGGGCTCTGCACAAGCTGTTCCAGATGTTTCATCAGCACCTAATTTCCTACATTCAATTTCTTTTTCCTTAAAATACTGACTGGGGGCCGGGCTGGAGCTCAGGGGAAGAGCAACTGCCCAGCACATGCAAAGTTCTGAGTTCACATAATAACCCGCAGAGGCCTGGGTGAGTGTTACACTGAGTACTAGTGAAACACTGTGGAGAGGTTTGGACGTGGACCGAGGTCAGTCTTCGTGCTCCACATCTTAGCTCCGAAGTTTTAGGAGACTCTTATTCCCTTCCGTAATATCGCCCTATTTCCTTGGCATTCACACATCTTCAATGAAAATATAAGCTTATGGATTAACTGCACGTATGTTAAAAGTGTAAATGTATGTCTAAAAGTTAACTGTCTCACAACGCCATTTTAAAGAGTTTCCTCGGGCAAACAGCTCAGGAACTGGGCAGCTCCAAACAGGAAGTGAACAAAGTGCCAGATCACGGGAACAATGTACACGACTCTTTTGCCAGAGTGTAACACACGTGGCCTCTAGTCCAGATGCCAGTTCCCAACTGAAGCCTCCTGAGCCCCACTGTCCCCATTCCCATCTGCCTTATGGTCTTCTGAGCTTTGATCAGAAGCTGTCAAGCTGTTCATAGCATTCTATGGCTTCTGTAGCCCCACCTCCAAACCCTTCCAAGCCCCTCCCACAAATCCTCCCCAAAGGCTTCTTAACTACGAGGTCAGGTACAGCCGCGACAATGACTCACCTCCCTTGTGCTGCTTTTCCGTGTTAGTTACTGAAGCACAGTGCCCGACACCCACACTTAAGGGAGGAGCGGTTCAATTTGGCTCCTTGTTTCAGGGGATTCAGTCCGTGGTCAGCAGGCCCCAAGGCCGGGCCATCGTGGTGGAAGGGTGGGGTAGAGTAAAGATGCTTAGTTCATGCTGGCCAGGAAGCAGAGCAGGGGAGCAGTGTCCGAGAGAAGGAGCAGAGGACCAGACAGCCCCCACCCCATTCTGAAAATTTTTGTACATGGAGACGGATGTCCTGTACAATGTACATAATTCTGCCTTTTAACCTGTTGGTGAGATAAAGCATGTGCTTAACAAATGCAATGATCAAAGGTTCTTCTCTAATCCCTTTTTACCTTCATATCTTTCTTTCTTGTGGCACCATGGGCATTTGTAAAATGGTATACCTTTCTATATGATTTAAAAATATAATACTTGGCCTGGTGTGGTGGCGCACGCCTGTAATCCCAGCACTCGGGAGGCTGAGGCAGGAGGATCACTGTGATTTCGAGACCAGCCTGGGCTACATAGTTCCAGGTCAGTCTCAACTACACAGTGAGACCCTGTCTCAAAAATCAAAACAAAACAAAACAAATATATATAATGCTTGGCTACACCTGGTTGGTTGATAGTCGACTTCAGCAGAATTTCAAGCAGAAATACTATACTCTGAAATCCTTGCTCTCACAGGAAATACCAGTGAGGCAGAAATAGATATCTTCTTAAAGTTCACAGTTGTTCATCTGGAAAGTTTTTAATAGTGATGATATATTAAGATGAATTTAATGTTTTGTACTCTAAGAAGTCTGGATTTCACACCAAAACTATCAACTACAACTTTTATCCAGATTTTGGTGTCTTCACAATTTGTCTTTCTTTATGTCCATGTTATTTTTCTCACCAAGGATAACATTTTCATCACTAATTAAGAGTTTGTAAATTTATATACTCTTTTGTACAATGGGAATACCTCTGTGACAGATTTGATGGAGGGAAAACTATGACAGATGTGTCTGTGAACATTACTGAAAATCTTAAAATGGTGACAGCTGCCTTCCAGGCCTGGATCACCGTTGTATAAAGGATGTGTGTGGGGTATGCAGGCTTTCAGGAGGAGAATAGGACCCCGAGCCTTGTCCTTAAGACATCAAGAGTGAAGTTCCTGTCCCGTGCCTGGTCTGATTTAGATGATGAGACCTCTGGAGGCCTTGGGACAGATGAATTATGCTGCTTCTAGAAGAAATGCATTTTGTATATGGAGAAGGAATTCTGTGTTGGTTTTAAGTCTGTCCTTAAAGTCTTAGCTACACCCCTCAAAGGAGTGCTTGAATCTGAGCAAGGAGCCACACACCAGTGAACCCGGCGAGGCAGGAGGATCCCAAGTTCACAATTAAAGTTAATTCAAAGCAAATGAAGTGGAGAGTTTACTGAGGGTTTTCCGCAGTTTCTTCTTCATTTCTGAAATTTTGGGCTCTTCTCCCTAATTCCTCTTCCCCTTGGCTAAAAGTCTGACTTCTTAGTTCCTCTCATCTCTCCTTTAATCAATGAACTAATTTGGATTTCTCCTTTAAGCATCTCTCGTATTTAACTTTTGGGGACTGCTTTATTTAGCTTAAGGCCATGGTCAACATTTCCCTCTGCTTTCCCACAAATGACAAGATTCTGTTCTTAGGTATGGTTGAATAATACGTCATTGTGTGTGTCTGTGAGTGTGTGTTCTCCATCTCACCACCCAGCCCAGTTTTCCCTGCATGCCTATCTATGTCCAAAAGACATCAGTCGTTAGATTAGGAGTTCACCCCATTCCAGCAGGACCCCATCTTGTGTTGACTAATCCACCTGTGATGACCCTCACGTACCTACGGTCGTATTCTGAGGGGCAGAGCCTTGTGGCTTCCGTTTATGAGATGCTTGCTCTTACCAGGATCTGTGCGGAAATGTGATGGGAGGGGATTGATGCAACTGCAAGTTTGCTTCTTATCAATTCATTTTCCTATGATTCTGTCTGTCTGTCTGTCTGTCTGTCTGTCTATCTGTTGATCTATCCATTATTATCTATCTGGTAAGTTCTATCTTTGTTGCCTTGCAGGCTTCCCTCTCCTCTCTCCTTTCTTTTCTTTCTCTTTTGCTTCTCTGAATTCCTTGCCACACAATTTCCATTCAAACCCAAAGCTAGGACAGCTGACAGAAACAACTGACTGAATCTTTTCTATTTATCTGGATTTGCTGTTACCTCAGAAAAATGTATTCCAGGGTTTCTGTCTTCTTATAACCCAACAAAAATGTCTTCTTCCTCTCCTCCTCCTCCTCCTCCTCCTCCTCCTCC